GGAGATGGTAAAGATAGGTTCCAAGAGGAACCCTAGAAAGTGTAAGACAAAAAAGTAAATAAAGATGACAAAGACATTAGGCTAAGTAGGCTCAGATTGTGAAGAAGAGAGAGATGGAGAAGTGCTGGGCGACTTGGGCTGGTCCAGGTGAGGAGAATGGCACCCAAGAGGCTTGGGGTGCCCAATTGGGTGCTCAAGTCGCCCATAGTCAAGATGGGGACGTGAGGAACCCTCAAAGTGGGCCTGGAAGCGCCCCCACTAGTGGAGCCGCGATTCCACAAGTTGGATTCGTGGTTCCACAAGCTGGAACCGCGTTTTCATGGTTGAGAAACGTGGGTCCAGGTTGGAGTCGCGTCCCAAATGTTGGGATGCGTGGTGAGGTACCCCAATTCGGATTTTGGGGTGCCTAGCCTCTGATAAAATCACTTGGGGGGCACCCTATTCCTAATATGACCCAACCACTAATGTCTACACCTAATATAATGTAACACATTACACATAACAGAGAAATGTACTAAGTTGACTACATCCCAGATAAAAGCCTAAAACAGATCCTCAACAACAGGACGCATGCGTGAACATGCAGTCGATGAAGCCCTCCATACATCGATGCGGTGCCCTAAGTTCCTTGTCCACCTCGTCGATCGATTCCCAGGGTTTGGCAATCGGACAGAGTGCCCGGCATGCCGTGATGCTTGGTCACCTCGCCGATGGGCGGATAGACGTCCAACCACAAGGGCCCGTAAAAGCCGTGCCTGACTCCGTGACAGCTGGCCATGCATAGAGTGACATCAGAGGCTGGTCCCTGTAGGCATCGACCACCCTGGCCTGGTGCACCGTCATCTGACCCCTTCTCGTCGCATGCAGGTCCGCAGGGCACCAGGGCATGTTCATCAGGCGGCGTGTCGTCACGGAATCAGCCATCTGCCTCAGGTTCGTCACTTGTCTCTTAGGCCACATGACCCGCTCCTCGTTCCCTGTGGCAATGGGCATGCATCTTGCCGGCCAGTTCCTCGCGAGTGGCAGCATATTGCCTTCGGCCTTGACGCCCACGCATTCAGGCTCCGTGTTCCTTGTCAGGGGCACTCTTGCCATGTGGCCGACGGACCTCGTTATCAGTCCCCTGAGTCCGAGCTCTGCCTTGAGACACGTGGGCACGGCACGAGTCACGGTCCATGGCTCAGACATAAGGCCTTGTGCGAACTCCGGCGGCTCAGCACCTTCAAACACGTCATGGTCGACGTTGGGTGCCTCGTCAGCTGCAAAGGGTGCCTCCATGCCTGCCGAGTTGGTTTTGAACAGGTTTAGACCTGCTGTAGTTCATAGGCCACGTTCCAGGGAGTGAAGGATGCTGCCCATGTCCCTGCCCATGACCTCGGCTATGGCGATGATCCTCCTAAGATCGGGCAGCGCGCATGAGGACAGCAGGTGCTTAACTGCTGACTCGAACTTGCTCCTGACCCAGGTCATTGACGGATGCACGCGTGCCGCTTCGAGCTTGTCCAGGGGCACCGTGACCTTGCTGCCAAATGTGTCAACGAATGCCGCCCACGGGATGCCATGTGTCAACGAATGCCGCCCACGGGATGCCATGGATCCTGCGCTCCACGCACTGAACGGGTCAGAGGAACTTGCATCGGAGGGCAATGAGCTCAGGAGCGCGTCTGCAACCTTGAGCACGAGGTCGTCCACGCCACCGCTGCTGTCGCATATTGCGATGGCGACACGTTCCATGAACCGCTGTGCTGCCCTGGGTCTGTCCCTCCTGGCAGATGCCAGCCCCTTGACGTGCCACGCTGCCGAGCCCTCAGGTGCACAGAACCTGGCCCTGATTCCGCAGGACGACTTCTTGCCCACGCAGATGAGCCTGGTGTACGTACCCTCAGGCTCCAGGAGCAGCGACTTGAGAGGCGTGCGCTGGAAGACCAGGCGAACCAGCATTGTGAATCTCTCCACCCTGTCCTCGAACTCGCTGACCGTGCCCACGTGTGATGGACATGCAACGAAGACCGAGTCCGCGTCACCGTACACAGAAGTGAGTCCGAAGCCGTTGGCCACGACGCTGATGTCTGCCAGGATCCATGTGCCAACGGTCGTCACAGCCGAGGCGCATGCCCTGGGCGAGAAGGAGGATTCACTAGCACCGAGCTCCCCGTAGGCACTGAGAACAGCTATCTTCAACGACCAGCCCATCTTCCGTGCGCTTGTCGTTGTCGACCAGTGTGTCCACGGCGTGTTCGCCTCTGGTCGTGGGCCACAGTGACAGCCTCGTGTCACCTGGCCTGGATCTCAGCTTCCTGGGGTGCTCAAGTTCGGCTACGACCCCTTGTCCTGATGGCAATCTTACGACCAAGCACATGCGGCTAGGTCCCCTTGCAAGTTTCAGCAGCAGCTGACAGATCCAGGTGCCCGTGTGCAGTCCAGGTACTCGTCCCTTGCCGGATACCTGCCGTCAGGATCACATGCACCTGACCAGACGGGTGTCCAACCCAGCTCTACG